CGATGCCCGAGGCAAAGAATTTTATTTTCACAGCTTGGCGACAGTGACACGGCCTGTCCGTTCTTCGTTTTTACTCATTTTGGGCGTTCACTTTATTTGATTTCCCATGAAACCGGTTAATTTTATCCCCCCTTTTTTATACTAAACAAAAATTGGGACCACAGCATATCGTTCACTTTAACCGATTGTTCAAATAAAGCCTGTTCACATTAGGCAGACTCCACTATACATGTAATTGGGGCTTTCACGGACATGACGAATATGGAAATCTTCAATACTTATTTCCAATTCCCGACGAATTCGAATATATGTTACAGTTATAATACGTACCTAGTGAATACGCGTAATCATTGAATATTCTAGTGAATACACGTAGTCCCCGTTCCACTCAGGAGTTTCACGTAATCACTGAAATTTCTAGTGGTTACACGAAATCCCTAAAATTAGACCTATCATTTTACGTGTTCTTATTATTGAGCATTCAGTGAATTCACCTAATGGCCCCGCCACTGTACAGTGACCAAGTTTGGTGTGCTTGTTTTGAACCACAAATACTGTCAAGAGCGCCCACATCTCAACTGACGATGGTGGAAGAGACCGGATGCTAAAAGAACTACAAAAGAAATATGCAAACATTCCAACTAAAGCTGTTGAAATGTTCAAGTCACTTTGTCTAGAATGCCAAAAGAAACGAAAACGGGCGATGACGAAGGGTGTTGTCGTTCGTGCAATACTCACCAGGGAGTTCTCGTCAAGAGGTCTGGTGGATCTTATTGACATACAAAGCATGCAGAGTGGGTCCAATAAGAAATGGATCGTGGTGTACCAGGATCACTTGACGAAGTTTTGCATCCTTCGAGCCTTGACGTCTAAAAGAGCTGCAGAGGTCGCTTTTCATTTACTGGACATTTTTCTGCTCATTGGTGCACCCGTTATTCTACAAAGCGATAACGGATCCGAGTTCACTTCATAGGTCATCACAGAGCTGAAGGAAGTTTGGTCAAACCTAAAAATGGTGCATTGTAAGCCTCGCCATTCCCAAAGTCAGGGCTCGGTTGAGCGAGCAAATGGTTATATTAAAGATATGCTTGTGGCTTGGATGACTGATAATGACTCATACGACTGGCATACGGGCATCAAATTTGTTCAGTTCCAGAAAAATAGTTCTCTTCATTCCGGGATAAAGTGCTCTCCATATTCTGCAATGTTTGGCTGCGAAGCTCGTGTTGGACTTTGCCGGAGGAAGTGATTGCTCGGACGGAGACTGACTGAGGAAGATCTTCTTGCTGTCAATGAAAACTCTCTCTCTCCCAAACTGATGGGACTGCAAACCAGATCCAAACTACAAGCAACAAAACAGCAACAGTTGGTGAGAGAGACGGTGTTCTACTCCCAGTCCACTTGAAAGCACATCAACACAAGACCTCGATCTACCCCCAGGACCCTCCTTGCCCACAGCAACACCATCTGCCTACGATGTTGACAGTCCTGGTTCTTATGGACAATCGCAAGAACATGTGACGTCTCTCTCAACCTCTTCATCTGACAGTCCTGGTTCTTATGGACAATCGCAAGAACATGTGACGTCTCTCTCAACCTCTTCATCTGACAGTCCTGGTTCCTCTGCTGAAAACCTTAGGGTAGAAGAACAAAGAAATAAAAATGCGTCGTCATGAAGCAGCTAATACACAAACTTCTCAAGCAGAAAGAATGGTTAAAAGAAGTCGTGTAGATATATGCGAGCTGGCAAACAAGGAGACAACGTTTGTGTGCCAGTTCCACTTGTTGATCGAGGAAGAGGCGATAGCAGAAATATCCTTGTTGTCATAATTGACAGACGAGAAGACACGGACCAACATCAGATAGTCGTAAAAAGCTGGTATTCTCAGTAGTTTGTATTCCGGAAATCAATTCGATTTGTGCCCAGAGCGTCTTCTGAACACTGTTGACATGAACACCGAAAAAATAGTTTCACTGCCTTCGGCGGTAATTTTTAAATCCTCTTCAGGTGGACAAAGCTTCTCAAGGTGCAACTGTACTGTGCCAAAAAGTGTAGTCCAAGGCGATGTAAATGCCATAAAGCAGGGCTTCAGTGTAACTCACGCTGTCATTGCAGCCTCAATTGTTGTAACAAGTGACGACGTCGATGGATTTTAGTCTTAAGTTTTTAACTGAAAACTGAAACAACAACAACAACAATGGTGTCGGCCATTAAAAAAAATTAAATGCTTTGTTTTTAGATTGTGGAGCATGTGTGTGTGTGCGATGGGTTTGTGTGTGTGCGATGGGTTTGTGTGTGTGTGTGTGTGTGTGTGTGTGTTGTGTGTGTGT